GATTCCTTCCTGACCCCTGCAGGTGACCAGCTGAAGCCCTGAAGCATGAGATTGGACTATGGTCATTGTCTTAGTGCAGAGCTGTGTTATGAGCAGGTAGCAATGCAGAGGGGCTTTAGCCAGTCACTCCCAGTCTCTTCCCCAGCTCCCAGTCCCAGTCTCGCTGCCCAGCCAGTCCCAGCCTTCCCTCTCCCTTTCTCTCCTGCCCCAGTGTCTCCAGCTTTCTTGTCCCCATTTACTCCAGTGTTCTGGGTAAAGTTTGGCAAAGTTCCAGGCAACTGGAAACAGCTTGTAACGTGAAGCTTTGGACAACCTTAATAACAGGCAGTGCAACTAGGTCTGCTGATAATGTCGTGATGACTCACTTGGTGCTGAGATGCAGCCATCTCTGGGGTGGGTCAGATGGGTAACAGCTGGACGGTGACACCGCACAGGGACGGCTCATTAGTGCTGAGATGAAGTCACCTCTGGTGTGGGTCAGACGGGTAACAGCTGGACAGAGACACTGCCCAGGGATGGCTTACCTGGTGCCGAGATGCAGCCACCTCTGGGGTGGTGCAGCTGGGAACAGCCACACAGCACTATTGCGGGGTGTAGGGGAGAGGATGGTTAACCAGTGAGCCCTGGGTAGCGAGGTCCTTAGCAGTGGGGTACATTCCCTGGCACCCCAGCCCCTACTCCCGACCCCACACCCCAGCCTGGGTCTGTACCTCCCTGCCGGGACTTCCAGCCCACCTGCCCCCCTAGCTCCTCTGCCCCTAGATTACTGGAATCCAGTGGGTCCAGCAAGAGCGCAAGACCCAGTGCAGAGCTGCCTTCGTCCCCCCTCATCTGCCAGCTGCCGCCCTGCTAGACCCAGCATATGGCAGCCAGTGGGGCAGGCGGGGTGAGGCTTTTTCACCGGCCACTTCCTGATTGAGACAATGGGCCATTGAGGAACGCCGGGGCTGCAGGGGGAGGGTTGGTTTGACGAGGGAGAAGGGCGGGCGCGAGGTGCTGGGGTAATGAGGTGCGGTGCAGGAGGGTGGTGCCAGACCTGGTGCCGACCCTCCCCGGAGCGCAGCGGCTCGTTGCACGTCCGAGACCTGGAGGTGGAGCCGACTGGTCTCCCCCACCCGTAGGAACCCCAGGTCTGGGTTGTCGGTGTTCCACACGGTTTCCGTCCATACCTCCTGGCCCTGGAAGGAGACCTTGACGTAGGCGTCGGTGCGGCTGGTGTAGTCGCCCCACAGGCCGCTGGCCCGCTCCACCGTCACCGTCAGCTTCCCTTGGCCTCGCTCCCGCGAGCAGCACATGGTGTTGGTGGAGCCGTCCCTGGGGCAGACACAGGAGCAGGGTCATGGGTGCTGCTCCGGGTCCCCGG